AAAGGGGGGGGGGGGGGGCTCCCCCCCCCCCCCTTCGCTTCCGCCGGCCATGTTTTGCTTTTTCCCCCAGAGTAAATATTGTACAACCAAAAATGTTATCTTGTAATTCCTTAAAGGATTACGTCGTCGCCTAATCATTTTAATCACAATACAATATTGATGGGTGATTAAAATAATAATGATGACAAGGTTGATAACAACATTAATAGCAATAACAAAAATAATGAATATTAGTGTTTGTTCATATTAATCAAAATTATATTCCTTTTTTATAAACATCCAGATTTGTGTACCCATAGGCTTTTAAACACATTTCTGCTGTACAACATTGTGCTTTTTTTAATATGCTTAGTTCCAAGCTCCAATGTTAATACTGTACTATAAAGGAAAAGTAAGGTATATGCGCGACTAGACTGGGCTCCAGTCCCTAATCTTTGTTTTTAAATCGATTTTGGCACCAATGGCGTTCCATATTACCTATTTGCTTGGCGTTTCATAGTATACTTTTTCTTGGATTAATAAAAGTTTCTCGATATATACCGTCGCTGGTGGCGCTCTCCAAAATTAGCTAATACTTGGAAAACCTATAATTAGAGACGTGTGGCAAGTCTAATGCGCGACTTACTTTTCACTTGTAGTGTCGTTCCTGATATTAATATTAGAAACAAGTATTTAGTTTGTACCTGTTAGCAGTATTGCAATAAAATTCAGGGGCGGATTCATGAATGACAATGTGTGAGGGATCCATCGTGAAATATACAGTATTTTAGATTAATGCATTTTCGCAGTCAAAATTTGGGTAATGACAACTGTGCTCGTTATTCTGGATCCACCACTGATTATTTCTAATTATACTACAAGGAAATTATTATAATATGCAAATAAAACAACACTAATTGTATTAATAGCATTAAAGAATAAAATAAAGTCAGTAAAACTAAAAGAAAGACCAAAGCATCTTAATTAAAATATAAAATTGATATATTTATTGAAACCTCACAAAATGAACCCCAAATTAAAAGAAACACAGTATGAATGTTTGTAGCCTATTTAAATTCGATCAAATTATGAAAATATAGTTCAAATATTATTCCTTCTGTAAACTTATTGAATAAGACTGCATAATATATAAGGCACATGAAGTTTCAGAAACAAAATGTAACCATAATAGCAGTTTCTCATCACCAGTAAACTGTTGTCAATATATCTTTCCAGTGCCAGACATGGCCACAGTTAACAACTGACCAATCAGAATATGGCCAGAACAAATCATTTTGTCTCACAAATGCATATGTTTGCATACGTTTAGATATCTTGCCTAATTCCTTTTGTGGAATTAGGCAAAATATCAAAGAGGACGGCTTAGAAGAACGGCTCAATCTTTATTCCTTGTTGAACAGTACAATAACACAGGCAGAGTTTTCAGGGTTCTTTTCAGTGAAGTTTGCTTAATGCTGTTTACAAGTCCAACTGGTAGTTCGGGTTCTGGTACTCGGCATTGCACCTGGAACAATATAGTTCGACCTCTAATGAAAAGACTAAAAATCAACCAATATCACGTAAGCACAAACTTTTAGATTGAGTGTGAAGAGTGCAAATTGAGTCTAAATATAAGTTTAAGTACAGCTGATACATAATCACCTATAGGTAATAAACATAAATAATTTCATAAATCATTGCATATGATGAAACCATAAATCATAAAAATAACAATAGTTATTATTATTAATAAAATTGCCCTCTGCACATGTTTCATGGAAATAATTTAGTCAAATTGATGCAAATATAAAATTAGCATAATTATACAGGTGTACCCCATTATAACAATTATTCTTCTTATTAACACTTTCCACTTTGCCAGGTTTAAAAGTAATCACCCTTTAACAGAATGTAAGTGATCATAGCAACAATGTATTTCAACTACAATACTATCAACAGTGGCATGAAGAACAACATAATTAAATACAATAGCCTGTCAGTGCTTCAATTCATAGAGTTGGTAATAATAAATATATTACCACCACATTCCACATAAATGTGCCCTAGAATATTAGTTACAGAACGTACTACCGTAATAATTTCACCTCAATTAATTTAAAGAAAATAAATTTCTCAAATCGTTTTTAAAAACCATAAAATACTAACAGAAATAAATATTAAACTCACAAAAACTTTTCAAAATCTAATATAAAACTGATATAAAAATGTCTCATGATCTTTTGAGTGTAAAGTTGCTTTTAGTCTAAGCAATATTCCAATTGAATTGATCCCTAAAGTACAGGAAGGCAAGCATGTTGACGACTAAGCTACAGTTCCACTAAAAGTTGGTAAATTTTTGAAAACCAGAGATAATTTGGTGTAAATCATATACAGGTTTTGTTTTTTGCATTGTTTTCTTCCAAAATTTTGAGAGTTTTAGAAAAGTTATTATCTTCACATTCTTAAAGTTGCCTTCACATAAATCTGATAAAAAATGCAATACTGTAGTTCAACACAGAAGAGATCCTTCAACAAACCTATTAATATTAAAATAAATTAATTAACATAAATACAAAATAACAAGAGATAAAAAAAAAGAATATGGTGAGAATGTAATAAAACATAAAATAGAAACTCAAATTAGACAAATAAATCACATTTACAGGACAGTATTCCCCTTTTTGATCATCTCTTAGTCATTAGAAATAACAGTAAATAGAAGGCCTTAAGGTGGAAATATTAGCACAATTAAAAAATAACTTATCATGAATGTATCTGTAGCATATACTTAAATAGTGATAAAAGGTACCAGTCACAAATTGTAAGTAATTTAAGTAAGCAAAGTAAAGTATAAAATCAAACCAGAGGGCATATCTTTAAATGCCGTAAATTACTGTTTAATAGTGGATAACTGGTACAGAAATTCTTATAAACATGATACCATGGTTTCAGAATTCTAATCATTAGGATTCTGCATCAGAAGTACACAGTACAAGTATCACAATCTTTACTTCTGCATGGCATATCTTTATATGCTGGTAAATTACTGTTTTCAGTGTTCAATAGTTAGTAACTAGTATAGAATTAATTATGAAACATGATGCCATGGTCTCAGAATTGTAATCATTAGGATTCTGCATCAAAAGTACACAGTACAAGTATTACTATCACTTTACTTCTGAATTAGAAGTACAGAGATAATGATACTTTTTCAAATCTACAATCCTTCGCCACATTCAAATACATCAGGCCAACAATGCACCTGACTCACAATGCTTCACACTTTATGCATCAGCCCCACATCATATTACCTAAGACTGACACTCAATTAACTGAGAGTTCCTTATTTGGACAGACCCACGACACCTACGATATACGGTGGCAGACTAAGGTTCAGACCCACCAGCCTCTAAGTTCATCAGAAAAAACACTCAAAGTGTCACAAGCTAAGCCCCCACAATGCTCTATGCCTTAAGACAAACTCGAAGCAGCCAACCTATTGCATCTGTGATTGTCTCACACAAACCTGACGTGTCAGGCTACGCTGTACAATGATGCCTCGAAACACTGTTTGAGCAACAAATAAGCATAAGCCCTTTCATGGAAACTTACAACCAGTGATTTAGTTAATCAAGCAACCTAACATGATCACACCAACATACTGTACAGTACTCTTACACACTGAGCTCACTTACATCTCTGTATTATATATTGGAATAGATCTTATATATATTTTCTTTGTAGATTTAATTTTTACATAAACTTTGGTGACATGTTAAAGTGCAAATTAATTATTTTTTAACCAGGCATAATGATATTGGCCTCATTTCGTTATCGTCATGTCAACATCCTCACTTCCAGCTACATATCTTGACTCCAGTCCATATGGTGTCGATTTTTTAACCCACTGAATATAAGCAAGATAAAAAAGATAATAATTATAGTAACAATAACAGTAAGAATAACTAGAGTAAGAGTAACTACAGTAAAAGTAACAAAAGCAGTGACGGTAATAATAACTGCAATAATAAGCAATTAGTAGAGCTCTGCATAGTACACTATAGGAAAATTATTATACGAAGGGTAGATTTAATGCTTGAAAACATTTTTTAATGCCTTAAATCTAACCTAAGTATAATAATTTTCTATTTAGTGTACGATGCATGCTCTACTAATTGCTTTATAAGTCAATCGCCGTCTTTTAATTTTAGTTTTTTCAGTATATGTGTGCGTATTTACATTTAGCTGTGCGTATGCTGATTTTTGCTCCTGCAGTACGCGTTTAATTAAATACACATCAGCAGTACAGTACAGATACGATGAATAACTAATGTAATTGTGTTAGAAAGAACTTGTTTGTAATGCTATTTGGTAGACTTTCGTCAAAGAAATAAACATTTCAGCATTCGAGAGAGAATACAGTGACTGATGTCCTTTTTGGTCGGTGCATGCAGACAGGTAAAATCTTGCGATGATTTCATCACAAGGCTAGGCTACGGCCTAGTAGTAGTAGGAGGCCTGGGTGGTTTTCTGCCTGGCCATACATCTAAATTTGTTCCTTGAGTCTTTAAAATAGGTCTAGAATATTCCTATTAAACGTTCAGTTTGTTGTGTTTATGAGGGTCCATGGATTCAATGAATTCATTAATTGTTCATACTTAATATTGAATTTGAAGTAACTTTCTTTGGGTTCTAATTAAGCTTGTATTACGGAAGTAATTCCAGATTACAATTCAGTTTTTATCGCGGTGCGCGATGTCTTCGCGGTGACGAAAAAATCAAGCCAAGCGTCCACTAATAGAAAAATTAGTGGACACTGGGGAATAGGCAAATAACATTGGGAGTTACAGTGATGACGTCACGATTGACTTATAATAATAATTAAACTGACTACACAGAATATAGAGATTTCCCTCAGTGACAAACAGCAGACAATGTTTTAAAAATCATTAAAAAAAATATGAAATACAGTAGAAGAAAAAAAAACCATGAAAAACAACTCAAAGATGCTGAAACTCAAATACGGACTGCAATGGTATTGGTGAAGGATGCGGAGAGTTACAGAATCCGATCCTGTGAAAGCCAGGGGATTTCCAATTTATCTAGCTTGTGTAACCTTATAGGTTGAAGGCAAAAAAGTTTGTATACATTTTGTGTTGAAACCAGCTATAAGACAACTAGCTTGAAATGCTTCAGAAAACACCAATTTTAAGATTTATTACCAGTTTATTGATATTAGAAATATGTAAAATGACAGTCTTTTACTAGGCACACCTTTAATATACAGCCTTTGCTTTGACCATGGACCTATGAATATCAAGGCATGAAAAGTGATTAAAGTGGAGGGAAACAGAAGAGAGAAAAAAACAAATATGAACAAAAACAATACCTTTTCCACAATTGTGGAGAAAAACAATAACAAATATCAGAAACAGCGAAAAAAAAAAAAACAATAATAACAACTGCAACACCAATACAACAATAATAACAAAATATGTTTAATGCACCAACTTGAATAATGATCAAACACTAAAATCAAATTCACATGTTTAGACAAAATTTTAATAATTGTAACAACTTGTTTAAAAAGCTACAATAAATACATTTGAATCAATAATATGTTTTGAATACTCACAGGTATTCGATCAGCATACGGTACACCAAGGGCCACAAGACAAATTGATGCCTGGAAAAAAACAAATTTAGAAAAAAATTAATGATAAATCATGTACACGATTAATATTATCATGTTGGATTTCATACCTACATGACATTATCAAGTATAAATATGCATATCCTATTAAGTAAAAACTTTCTTTTGTTCATGCTTATGACCATCAAAAATTACAACCTAAGTCCTATTGTTCTTGAAATGGGCCTCTGGTAGCAAACAAGCCTAGTCTAGTTCTCAACGCAGCACAATATAAATGACTGATGATGGTAGGTGTTGAAAAAATATGACAATAATACTACAAAAAATTATTCCCAGGTAGCAGTGATAATTGCACATAATGTGTGATTGATTCAGTATGCAATACAATGAGCAGGCAAACACATTGTCATGGGGTACTTCAAATAAAACAATACTCACTAGGTAAGCAATGTAAACAAGATATAAAACTAAAATTATTCCCAAGAAAATATATAAGGCCCAGTTTTTCGGTAACTCAGGCAAATAGGTAAAAACAAAGAACATGTTTATTGCTATGACAGCCACTGCCAAAGTACCACACACAATCTTGTTTAATCTGTAAATAAAACAAAATTAAGTAATTATTTCATTTCATATATTCAATTTGCTTTTTAAAAGCGTAACAGAAAGAAATAAACATGAACTTATCAAACCACAAAAAAGCAAATTGGGGATATTAACCATAAAATTGTGAAAAAGACAATTATTACCAAAGGGATCCCCTACATGAACTAACATGAAATGGAACATAATAGAGGAAAATTGAACAATTATATTTAATTGAAGTAACTATGTGTAATGATGTATTAACAGCATGCCAATACTACAAACAAACATTTTCACATGTACAATCATCCTCAATGTCAGTTAAATATGTAAACACCCTGAGCAATACATCTTGTGATTGCATGAAGCTGGTACCATTTATATGTAGCTATTTGTTGGCCATTAGATTTGATCACATTTTAGATTTTACACTCTTATGACAAATGTGGCAAAGACAAGCCAAACCAGTCACTCGTTGCATATCGTGTTTCAGAAAAAATGGACAAAACATGCTGGAATATCAAATTTTAAAAAATCTATTTTATTGCACTAAACTAACCTTTATATATCTACACATCATTCTATGCTGTTATTTTCCCCATTTCAATGTTAATGATTTTTTTTACCATTTTATAGCTATTATTTTACTCTCTAACACTGTATGTATTAATAACTCAAAATCGATTTTTGCGACGAGTGACTGGTTTGGCTTGTCTTTGCCACAAATATTATCATGTTAAATGATAATTGAGCATTTGTCACTTAATGAGCATTCTCGATGGTTTCACCAAAATGTTCTAATACTCAAACCATGATGATGTTATGATGATGTTAATGCATTGGACTAGAATGGAATATATGATTTTTTTTTATCTGATCATCCTACATCAAAACTCTCACCGTTAATGAGAATTTGTACATTAATGTGCCTGTCACAATTTTATAAATGTTCCTTTTTATTGACTTACATGCCATTTTGGAAGTCCTGCATTAAGCTTCCCATACTAGTAAACGTTAACACAGGAATCAAAGCAAATGGAAGCTATCAAAATAAAATTTATTTTACATATAATATTTAAAATTTTGATTTAGTACACTTAAAAAATAAACATAAACAAAGCACAAATTACAAATTCATTGATTCTCTATTCTCAGTTAGCCTATAAGTATTTAAGAAAAAGTTAACACATTTTGTTATTGTAACAGGAATATTTGAATTAATCAAGAAAACAAATACAATACCTGTAAACTCATAACGACATTAAGAACATCATTCATGCCAGTAAGATTATCAATACCACTAAAAACAGCAATAACTAATGTTGGGCAAATTGCAATAGATCGAGTCATCAATATACGCCGCCAACGAGACCACTTCAAATTCAAAAAACCCTAAAGAAAATATGATATAATAATATTTTAATATCAAAAATTAAATTGACTATTTATCAAACTTGTGTATGCTAAGAAAAATATACTATACTTTTAAGATGTCATCTCACTTCTTTTATAAATGCTTTTGTTACTTACTTTTTTCGCGAAATAAATTAATCAAGTTAGTGTTGAGCTTTGATAATTTTTTTGTGACGATACACCACCTTTTGTCAATATATTGATTTTTATCTATTAATCTATATTGTTGAAAATAAAGTTGACATAGTAGTAGTAGTAGTAGTAGTACTTACTTCCATAGCAAATTGTCCTGCATAAGTTCCAGTCATTGTAGAACTCTGACCGGAGGCTAAGATTCCAATTGCCCAAATGTAGAGGGCAGCAGCACCAAATTCACATCCAAGGAAAACACCCTGTAAATTGTAATTAAGTAAAAATTATGAATTCTGACATTGACATCATAGTAAAATTACCCTGTACATCCTTGTATAAATTAATATATTTTGATGTATGGTTGATTGCTTCAAGAGTATGACCCTCTCTTTGCCACAATCATATTATTAATCATGTTTAAGAGGCCTTGTTGCTATCTTAGGATTCTGGGTTTAAATTCTGAGACACAAGGCATAACAATGTAAGATTGTTCCTTGCGTGACAAAATAAAATCCTGAGATGATTGTTCAAAGTTAAATTCTCAGTTTTGATTTCAATCTCAATTTTGTTTTTGAGCTGACAAGTTCAGTAATGAGTAGTTTTAAGTACCACTTAAGCCTGGTTCTTACGAGAGCCCTAGTATCCGGATGGGGAGCTAACCGTTAGCGCTAACCGTTAGCACCTGCGTGAGAACGCCCGATTGGTTAGCGCTAACGGTTAGCAAGCGCTATCGGTTAGCAAGTGCTATCGGTTAGCAAGTTGAGGTTCCAGAATTTAATTTTTGTGATAGCAGGATTTTTTCTCATGTCTAAAACAAGTCCACTCCCTAAGCCTCACTTCGAACTTCGTAATTTAAGCATACCTGGGCCCTGTTTGAGAACAGTAGATATCTACTGAAAAGGATACCAAATAAAAAGAAAAATTCAATTTACTGAAACTTAACACTTACTTTAACAAGGGCAGAGTGTAGATACAGGTTATGAGGCATAATGATTGCACCGATTATTCCTACTGCTTGTAAGATAGCGGCCTTGTTTCCTTTACATGCACTGCATCCTGGGATAAATAGGCCTTTTAATAACTCAACTTGATCTGGTTTAACTACTACATACTGCAATGGGATATAAGAGAAAATAATTATATATACTCTATATTTATATGTATCATATACTAATTTGAGTAAGGACCAAAAGTTTGTGGCAATTTACCGCCCAGACACGTTCACAGATCTTGAAGAAATAGATTGTACCACCATTCTTTTAGGTTTCTTACCAATATTGGCATTTTTTGTGTTCCTATTTTATATGTTCCTATTAAAATATTGTAAAAAATAAATTTACACTAACACGAATCTACAAAATATTGGACGAGGCCTACCATACTACAAAACAACATAATATTTAGTAATATTTAGTATATAATAACTGTGTAACAATATTATGACAATGACAATATGAGTCACTAAAACAAATCAATATGTCACGAATAAAGAATGTAATAATAATAATAATTGAAAATTCATCATGCACCAATTTCAAAAATGATCAAAGGTGCAATTTACTCTTAGAATCTGATTATAAATGTGTTATTAAATCAACTTTAAATGAATCTAAAGCACTCTCCTGTTTCTTTGCTATATACCTGACCAACAAACATGGGATGAATTAATTGAACATACATAAAATGTTATAAATCAATCAGAAATTTAGTTACCTCATAAGTGAATGTGACTGCCATGGTAAATATAAGCATTGCAAAAAATGCCTCAAGTTTACGCAGACCTACATAACAAGAATGATATGTGTTGTGATTATAAAAATAATTATGAACTTAATAAATAACTTATGTTCTTTAAGTTTATGCAAGTTAAAATAATGATAAATACATTTTTATAGGTTGTTTGACTAAATTTGAAGAGAAACATTTTTTATAACAAAGTGTGTTTGCCAAAACAATAACATCCTTCAGTCTCCTAGACTTAGGAAAGTATAATTAAAAGGTTTTTTACAGCAGGAGAACAGATACTGTACATAATAACTTCAAGAGTTCATCTTAGTGGGTATCATATTTTTCTTCCTGGTTATGTTTTTGCAAATAATAATCTAAAAATAATAAACAACTCTCATAGCTATGGTCAGTGGCATATTTTTTATAACACAGTGCGACTGCCAAACAACAACATCCACTAGTCACCTATAAAGTACAATTGAAAGGTTTTTACAGCAGGAGAACAGATACTGTACATAATAACTTCAAGAGTTCATCTTAGTGGGTATCATATTTTTCTTCCTGGTTATGTTTTTGCAAATAATATTCTAAATATAATGAACAACTCTCATAGCTAAGGTTAGTTGTGGATTTAGGGGGGGGGGGTCAATAGGGTGGCTAGCCACCTCTCTCCAATTTCCAAAAAACCCCTAGGTAAAAAGTCAGACAGAATGATTCTGAATGAATGAAAAGCATGGCACCCACATTAGACATGCAGTACGGGACTTCCTTCAAAGAAAACTAAGTGGAAATTATTCATCATACTATTCCATTTTGTCAGAAATCATTACTATACTAACATTGTTATTATACTAGGGGCGGATCCAGACCTTTACGCTATTCGCCGTGGCGAAGGTCAGGATGAGATATTTTTATTTTTAACATAAAGTATGTCTGGTGGTCTGGCGAATTTCAACTCCCCCTTTCTTGCAGAAATGCCATCAAATATAGACATGCATTTTTGTATTGTCCAAATATTAATTGAAAAGGTACTGTATATAAATCACAAATTTACCAGCTGCTCCTTGTGTACGTCCGCATATCAGTCTTACAATCTGAGGTATTTTAAAGTCTTTCAGTACATCAGAACTAGTCATGGGCACCGATCATTTGGGGAGGGGGGGTGGTGGGCAGACATGTGCTTCTCTCATATATTTTAAGGGGGTTGGTACCTCCATGTTTTGACTGCTTTGTATTTAGTAAGTCAAGAAGATGCCTTAAAACTTTAAAAATACTGTAATGACCTAGATTTTGAAGAAAGAGTATTCTGCAACAATTCAATGAAATTAAAATGACTATATTACAACTTTTATACACAATTTGTGTTGAACTGTGTTGGAACTTAATTTGGACTAAAGTGGTGATAATTAAGAACTTTTAATATAAGAGTGCCATTTCTGCCCATCTAGAGGTAGAGTAACTATTTCTTCAAATTTTCACACCTCAGCCCCAACTATGGTGGGGCTGAGGTAGGTGTTCACTCATGACTGATCCCACCTATTAAACAGCGCCCTTAGAACCACTAGACTGAGCCCCTCCCCCAGCTCCCCCAACAGGGGGCCTTTGGTGATGGCCCAGCTATGAGCTCAATTTGCTCCCATTATATCCACAACTCGGACTATATGGTCGCACGTCAATACAATTTCATCAGCAGGGAAAATCAATGAATTTGGAGTGTATTGGCATTCATTAATAGAAAGTCAGTGCATTTCTAAAGATCTAGAAAACTAAAACTTTCCAAAACCACCCCCACCCTCTAAAATTATGCTCTCTTCTCATGACCCCATGATCTGCACTTGACATCATTAATTATATGCATTCAGATTGACTGCTGAAGTTAATAATTACATTTTTAAAATTTGGTTTTAAAGTCTTATTTTATATCATCAGCATACATTCAATTTTTAGTTTTCATAATAATGTACATGTAATTAGAAGGTTGCTAACTGATACATTAAAGGTAAAAATATCCTTTAATCCAAACAATAAATTTCGGAGTCATAGTAGAGTTAGAGAATTGCATGATTGTTTGTTTTATTCATAGGTTGTGGGCGTAAGTCCATGTAATACAATACGTGCATTGAAAAGCTAGATGTTCTATAAGAGCGTCTAAACACTTAATTTTTCAAAACCCAAACCACCCTCGCTCAGTGCTTTGCACTTTGGTGACCACTGTCGTGGCCACCCCCTGAATAAATCCTAGAATCGCCACCGAAGGTCAAATCATAAAAGATTGAAAAATATTATTAATGGTATAATTATTGTCCTCTAAAAATGACAAAAAAATCCTTTTAGAAAATCAAAATTAACTTGCTCATTTTGCAGTGACATACAAATTATTAACTTGAGTGTTCACCCACATTTTTATACTGGATGATAGAAATAATATGAACACATCCAGTGACTGGAAGTGTTTCTATCATTTTGTACTGAAAAATTACGGGTAACCTTTTCTTTTTAAATACGCTAACTTCTATGTTCAAGTTGATAATGTATAATGTTACTTCAAAATGAGTAAATTAATTTCAGCAATTTAAAATTTTTTTTTTTTTTTGGTAGTTTGACATTGATTGGGACAATACATCTCTAATCTCTAGAAATTTCTTACTCAGTTTTAAAAAAGGTATTTTAGGGTTAAATTCTTATATCGAATTAGACAATACCTTAACTTTTACACTCTAAAATTGTTAGCCTCCAGTCTTATTCTTTGCAATTATGATTACGGATACGGTTTTTGGTATGCTTGCTTAAGAAAATCTGGCTTTCAATTGACCTTAGAGTGAATCAGTTAAAATTGACTCATATATATCGCATTCTAAACAATTGAAGCCAAAAATATCTCAGGGAAGGAATACAAAGAGCCAATTCAATACATAATTACAACACTAGATTCTCTAAATTTGCTATATATAGACATATAACATATATATGTTATTGGTACCCATGCTCAAACTACATTTCTATCCTCAACAACAATTATTTGGAATTCATTACCAAGTACAATACAACAATCATCATCAATCTACGAATTAAAAAGAAAATTAAAAGATAATGTAAAAAAATTGGTTAACCAGAGGAAATAATAATGGTAATGATCGTTGTGTTGAGTGAATATTTTGGTTGTTGTTATGAAATCATATCTGGAATTAATTAATTTTTAAGGACCACAATGGAAATAAGTCAATCAATCAATCAATCAATCAATGTGACATTTATTTCACCATGAGCAACAGAAAAAAGAAAACATACAATACTATGGCGAGGGACCAGTTTAGAAGCCTAGGCTTGTCTTCACGGTCCCTTTTAACAGATACAAAGACTAAAAATTAAAACACACAAAAAAGAAAAAAAGATCATAAAAAAGTACCTATTGATATCCTTTTTTTCAGAGTTTACTAAAAAGTCTTAAGAGTATTTGATGTTTTAGTTTACTATCAATATTGTTCCATACATGCGGACCATGGACACAAATTGAGAATTGGCTTTTAGTCAGCCTAACAAACGGAATACGAAGCCTGTTACACTGTCTTGTCCGATAGTTATGAACATTACCTTTGTACTGAAATAGATCCTTAAATACATTTGGTAACATATCATGGGTGTGTTTATACATAAAACATCCTACTTGTGCCTTATTAATGTCATAAATATTCAAAAGATTATGTTGATGAAATAGTGGTTCAGCATTGCACCTATATGGTGATGATGTAATAATACGAAAAATTCGTTTTTGGAGGTTATATAGTTTAACAAGGTTTGAGGGATAGTCATTTCCCCATATAATATTACCATACTGGAGGTAAGGCAAAATTAAGGTATTGTAAAGAGCGAGTAAAATATTCATAGGGAAAAACTGTTTGACTCTGCCAATTACTCCTATCGATTTTGAAATTTTTCTTGCAACGAAGTCAATATGAATTTTCCAGTTAATATGTTCATTTAAAATTATACCCAAGAATTGAACTTCTTTCTGTTGAGCTATTGCTTTACCATTGATTTTAAGGATTGTCAATTTCAGGGCATTTTTTCTGAGTTGGACGGAAAATTACATAGTTAGTTTTGACAATATTTAACAATAGTTTGTTAATGCTGAGCCAATCAGATACCTTTACTAGTTCATGGTTTATATCAGTTAACAACTTATCAAGATTGTCTCCGTGATAGGCAAACAGTCGTATCATCAGCGAAAGACACTGTTTTAAGTACATTACATCCTAAAGAATGTCGTTAATATAAATTAGAAACAGCAAAGGGCCTAATACTGACCCTTGAGTTACTATTGAGTTACTTTATTGTGTTTTTATCCTTGAATTTTTTATACTGTTTATGAATTTCGAATAAAATTAAACGAAATGAAAATGAAATGTATTTGCATAATACTATGCATTAGTAGTCCTACTCACCATATTTATCCAAAAAAAGAAACACAAAAGTGTCAGTAATGGTAATCAAGACACCTGCATACAAGGGAATCCTTGGATAGAAAAAAAATATATATAGTCATAATATAATTTATAGTATACTGTATATCATTGAAAAGTAAAGAAAAGCAAAGTTCTTGTTGTGATTATATGAATACAATAAAAAAGGTAATACATTTTAATTATGATTGATAAAGCCAAACAAATCAATCTTCCCCAGAATTAATCATACTTACTTCCCGTTCGATAACAGATAGAAGGCAATCGCCGTGCCTATAACCTCCTGCATGTCAGAACCGATGATTGCAATTTCAACCATAAGCCAAAGAATAATACGCGGTACCAGAGGATATTCACGGTAGCAGATTTCTGCGAGATGCATTCCTGTTACAACACCTAAACGTGCTGATAAACGTTGAAGTAGTAACCCAAGAATCGTAGCAAACATTAACACCCATAGCAGCTGGAATGTGAAAAAAAAAACACTTAAATAAACAGGATTAGAAACATACCAAACATGTTATTAGATTTGTCTACAAAAAGTATATTTTCACCAACCATAAACACAAAATATATAGTATTGTATTTGGTATCATCTATAAGATATAAACTATAAGGCAAAAGCAGATAGTTATACAGTAACTTTTCTAACACTAAGAAAAGAAACTGATCACAAATCTTAAAATACATTGTAATACATTGTATGGGCAGGTCTACTAAGCTACTCAAAATTGTGACATACAGTATATAACAGAATATAAACTTGATGTAGAGGATGCCGACGTACAGGACATTTTTTCCATAGGAAGAATACACCAACTTTTCTATTTCTTATACAGAATTTAATATAAAAATTAAAATATTATACAATGTAAACCTAACAAACTGTAAATACAATAGGGATACAAACTTTGGTGAGAGGGGTGAGGATGAAGCAGGGGGCTTGTTAGGAATGTTTAGTCTGGGTTCCATACCACATGAGGCTAATTGATAGAATCTTATTTATTACTGAAGTATTAAATGAACAAAATTAATTACTAATTAATTTAATTACATATTCTTTTCATTATATAATTTAGCTTTTACAATACAACGATATAAACATTCAAGTGGTCAGAAGACATAACTACCACAGAAAAAGTATATTTCTATACATATCAACATTAAAATGTAAACACAACCAGCTCAAGCAAAATTTAAACTATTGAAAAAAGGCATTAATTATAGTTTTTTCAAAAAACCCCTACCCTAACGTGAATTTTTCCAACAGTCGCGACCCAACTTTGGGTTGCCAAAACATTTCTGAAGGTTTTAAAATAGTAAGAAATACTTCTACAAAGGACTCAACTCAAGAGAACACCCAGACGTAGACAATGAAAAGATAAAAATTCAGTTGTCAACCCAAAACATAGAATCTACTCTCATGGTTGTCTTGTCGCCAATCTCTCAAAGGAGTGACAAGGTCATTAATATTAGGCAGGAAGCTCACATTAAGACAACGTACCAGTTAATAAACTTATTAAAGCTACATTGTGTTAGAAATGATGAGTTGCTTCTTTTCTTCTTCAGTTCATTTAAGCCTTTTTGCGAGGGGGTAGGGAAGTACAAGCTTTACTTTTCAATTATTATTTACCCAGTCAATCCTGCTCAAGTCGACTGTGCATAAATCCAAAATTCGTCATTTGTTATGTTTTATACAAATTTTTATTCTCTGTTATGTTTTATATAAATTTTTATTCTATGTTAAAAATGTTCAATTTTACCGCGCTCCATCTCAACAGAACAATTGAAAAATCAATCAACGAAAAAGTGAAAGCAAGCAATCACATGTTAAACTCTTTCTGGCAACAGCAACAACAGCCATATATTTGTTTGTTGCACTTACATGAATGTATGGATGATCATTTCATTATGTTTGAATACTCTATTCTTTAAGTTAAAACTTATATTTTAACTAATAATATTGTTCGATTTGAAGTTGACTGTAAAATCTCAAGAGAATCTTCACTTTAAAAAAAAAATGCATACGCACTTTATTGTGGTAACAAATAATTTCACCAACACCCTGACTAAAAACATTCTATCCTCAACCACTACCACCATTAACGACAATATAAAGTACAAAAGCACACTGAATAGCTTTAATCCTCTAGGAGGGTAATTCAAATTATGTATTATTATAATAAAAACATACAAAATAAGACCAAAACCAAAATGGGAGGGGATGTTTATAATATAATTATACCATGGTCTCCTCTTGAATCTTTGAGAACAGAAACTATAATTTTCAATAGGTTATGACAAATGAAAGTCTGAAATACATGAGAAAAAGTTGACATTGACAATGATTTGCCAGTTTGTTTCTATCATTCATCAACAAAACATGTTTTATTAAACAACTACAATGGACCTTTCTTGAGTGTCAATCAAACTTAACAACTGACCAATCAGAACAAAGCAAGGAAGACACATGTGTCCAACAAGCACACGTGTTGTCTCACAACCACACGTATTTGCGTATGTTAAACCATCGTTTTATGGGACCATAGCAACAATATCCAAGGGGCGGGACTGAGCAGAAAGGTCTATTACATAAGAGGCATCTAGAGGTTGGATTATTATATTAGGCCCAAGATTCTAATAAGTCTAGAAATTACACAAGATGTCTACATCAGTCCTTAATCTCATTAATCATTTGGTGCTTAACTTGCTGATTATCAACCATGTTGCTGCTGAAGTTGGTGTGGAATGGGTTCACAATACACGGTACAGACCAAATGTGAATCCTGTGACAATCAAAAAATTAAGTGCAGAGAACCAAGTGGTATGGATGAGAAAGAAACACTCTTCTTATTACTACTATAATCTCATCGATCAGAAATATGCAGAGTGGTACCACATCTATAAAGCTCATGACGTTGAAGAGAGCTTGATTAAATTTAATTGTCAACTGTTTATATCGTTGTATGAACAAGATGTAGGAATTTACACATGTCAAAATGGTGACTATGAACATATTCTGTTTTCTTCCCATGGTGTCAAACTGAATCAACATTCATATTACAGGAATACACCAAAATGTGAAGGTTTGACAGGTATCACTGAGGGAGAAGAAGTCTCGATCTCATGCACAGTGCAACCACGCTGGAAAAATTTTATTCAACAAGAATTTACAATTGGATGGATTCAGGGAGGATATAATACTTCACAGTCACATGATTTGATGGAGGGACCTATACATCTTATACACACATTTAAAGCTGTTCATTCTGGAAATGGAATATTCTTCTACTGTTATTCCTCAAAATATCATGTTTACTTCTATTACTATGATACCTCAGTGTGCTATACATTCATTTTGAAGGTTCACCCTCAATTAGTGGTGAAAGTTGAGACTTTGATAAAAACTCCTGCAATTCTTGGTGATAGCATTTGCTTCGTATGTCATGCTGGCGGTGGATCCAATGAGAAGGTTTACAACTGGAATTTAAATGGACAGAAATTGACCAATAACAATATTAACCATGACAATAAAAGATGCTTCAATAAATTGGCAGCTGGTCATTACACTGTCAAGTGTCTTGTTAGTACTGAAGCTCAGGAAATCTCAGACTACATAGAATTCACTGTCAAAGATGTCATGCTAACAAATACAAGTACAACTCCACAGCCTTCTACACCTCAAAATTACAACCAAGTACAAACATTAAATGATGGCCCAAAGAATCATGTCAATGACAAAAACGAAAAGGTAGTGATAATGATACTGGCAGCAACGACAGCTATACTTTTGGTTGTTGTACTCATTTTGATTTATTGCCGGAAGAAAAAACACTACGAACATTCACAATCAGAAAAGCATAATCAAAGAGATATTGAGATGAGTGTCCCCACCACTTCAGACATCCCACAGATCAGCACAGATGAGGAGATGTACTATACAATTGAGGATAACGCAGAGCATCTTGAAAACCACTATGTCATCACCGACACTGTAACTGAGAGTAAGGCAGAAGTCTACAATAAGGAGACCAATGAAGTTATTGGAGGTGAAGAAAGGAATAAACAGGGCACCACAGACGTCAATGAAAACAAGAAATTAAGAAGACAAAATGACAATAGGGCTGATGGTGAAATTCCATACTATTTTGTACTTGAATCAAATCCACCTGAAAACTAAATGGTAGGAGCTGAACAAAAAACCTTTAAAACTCCCATGATCCTTTGAATCATAATCTCCTAGTTTAAGAGTGAGGAATGATAGATAGTCAGACTTTATCACAAGTGAATTAAAAAAAAAGTTTGAAGGACGATATAAAAAATGTTAATAGAGTTTTCACTGTTTTTTTTTTTTTTTTGTATCATGTATGAAATAAAATGTATAAATTGTATGGGCTATAGCGATAATTTAAGCAATTTGTTTCTTATTAGGCCTAACCCTCCGGCTTTAAATGTATAATATAAAACTACTGTATAAAACTAATTTGTTTCATTGTCATTTTTTATTGCCTACAAACATGAAAAGCGATAAAATAAAGATTTGACTTTCGTTAGTTTGCTAGCATCAGCTTTAATTGGATCCTCCAGTGAGTGTAACAAATGATGGTTAGATGAATCAACAGATTTCGCATATTGGAGAACATTTTACAGAAATGCAATATCTACTGTATGAACAAAAGTGTAATGATGATGATGAGGTGACATAGCAGGTAGCGCAGGTATGAAGCAAAAATCTATCCACATGCTACTGTGCATTAGACAAGGTTGTGTTTCTTTATTTCTTTGGCAGATAATAACTGATGATAGCTCATTCAGAAAACAATGAACTGAAAGTGAAATTTGTATACAGAGTTTGTAACGCAAGTATAACATTACATATCTAATAGACTTATTATTATAAAACAAAAGAAAAACAAGTTAAAAAAACATTTCGTACATCTAGTATCTGGACGAAACTACAAATTTGCATAAGAATATTAAATATATTGAAAATAAGGAGAGAAGAACAAAGATAAAAATGAGCAAGATTTGTCAGTTGGTTTCAAACATCCCTCAACAACAGAGCATGCTTCAGTCTCTACTACAATTACATATAGAAGTAGGATTAAGGCTTAGAACATTTGCTAAACAAAGTCAAGAATGTATACATCATTTCTTAATCTCATCCTTTTAGTGGTGCTTAGCTTGCTGGTTATCAACCGTGTTACTGCCGACTTTAGTGTAGAATGGGTTCACTGTATGTACGACAAATCAAACTTGAATTATGTGACAATAAAAAAATTGAGCACAGAGAACCAGGAGGTGTGGAGTACAAAAAAGATTTCTAATGCTTATAGTGGCCAGATATATCCACAGTCTTACCACATATATAAAGCTCATGACGCCGGAGACAACTTGATTAAATACAATTGTCAACTGCTTATATCTTTCAATGAAGAAGATGTAGGAATATACACATGTCAT